AAACAAATCAAGAGCACAGGTGAGGAATTATATTTCCAGCAATACCTGGAATTATATTTGTGTGTGTGTGATGGTTTCACCTGTGAAACACACACACACACACACCCACACACACACACACATACACACACACATGGGGAGGGGAAAGGAGGGAGGAGAGGCTCTTCCCCTTACAGGGTGAAGGTTCCTGCTTAATGCCATTCACCCAATAGGCTGGAGATGTCACTGGCAAAGAAGTCTGGGAGAATATCTATGGTCATTCCCCTTTTGGCCCCATAAATGATTAAACTGGGACTCAGAGAAGCTGTGATTTGCATAAAACATCTACTTATTTGGCTCCCATTCCAGAAATCTTTGCAGTAATATCATAAAAGCAGTGTCTAGTAGCTAGCGTAGGACATTTACTTTGCTATTAAAGGATGGGGGAAAGTAAGTTACTTCTAATAACTATGATGAGGAATGTTATAGGGCCAGTTACAAAGACACTTTTGGGTGGCTCCTTGTTAGTAGGTGCCAGAAAGGAAAATATGAAGAAAATGGAAAGTCTATCTGCAAATATTCATAGTTTCGTAAGAAAGAAAAACAGACACCAGGATAGGAAAGTGTTTTAAGGAAACCAGTAAGTGGATGAATGAGCCAGGAATTCAATAAACAAAGACATAAATGTGATTCATCTTGTCCAGTGTTTCAGAGATCGCCTGTACACACAGAGGACACACTGAGATCTTTGCTTTATAGGTTTACCCATTGTAACAATGAGATGTACAAGACACTATGTTGAAAATGAACTATACAACTGGGGGGGGGAAGGGGGAAGTGGGAAGGGAAGGGGTGGTAGGAAATAAATAAAGGAGGATGTAATAATGCTCGATAGGAAATGTATTCATCACCTAACCCATATAACTGTAACCCCTCTGCACACTATTTTTACAATTAAAAAACATTTTAAAAAGATCAGAAGAATTTTACTATGTAACAAAAACAACAACAAATCCACAGAACCCAAATGAATGCTTTAACCATTGTAAAAGCATATTAAATGGGCAAAAAATCAAGAAGTATGTTTAGAAAATTGTGAGTATGTTAGAGTATAAAGACCATAGGATACATTAATTAATTTTGGCCCAAAGAGAAAGAACAGAGACATTGAAGAATAATAGTTATTACTAGTTCCATTTCTCAGATGTTTCTTAGAGTTCAAGTAGAACAGGATCTGAGAGAAAGTAATAGGATTAGGTTACACATGTGCATGTGTTGCATACACACACATATGTAACTCCTTTTACTCAGATATTTTTCTTCTATAATATCATTGAGAGCAATTTATTATATTTTAAGAACTGTTCCATTATAATTATTAACATAGCACATTCAAGTTATGAAATATTAAAAATGTTAGAAAAATTCCAATTGCATTTAAAATCCCACTTACAATTCAAACCTATCACTGTTAACATTTGACATATAGACTTTCAGTTTGGGTTTCCATTAATATCCATTTATGAAAGGGCATGTGTGTAGAATTAAAAATACTAACTTATGTTATCCTCTGACCAAAATCTTAAATCTCAAAATGCATTTTTTTGTCCTGTGTATCTATCACTGTTTCATGTTCTCTTTTCTCAGTACCTTTGCTTTCTTAGTGTATTTTCATCAAGAGTTTGATGTCTTAGGGTCTACTTTATCTACTGATAATGTTTTTATGTTTATACAGGTTTTTTTTTCTTATTGTCTTAATTTCCTCATCATCAAACCACCTTTTCATTTCCTTACATTTCATTGCAAACACAAGGATTCTTTCTAAGCTGTTGGTTTTTCTGAACATATCCTTTACAAAAGTACTTTTCTCTTAGCATAATCGCCTCCTCTTATTTTAAATCCTGACTTTGTTTGGATAGCTGGAAATAACTATTCAGGTAAAATGTTGCCAGGACAAAAACTGCAAACATGCCCTTTACTTTTAGTGTGATTCAGAGCTGAGTCTTTCTTTCTACTTAGCCATTCTGGTGTCCATCTGGCATAATCTAGAGAAGATCTGGAATTTAAAACCTGTGGCATTATTTTTTTTTATCAGAAAAGATGTCCAATGTCCTCTCCTCATTTCTTGAAGTTAATTTTATAAATTTGATTTTAGAATTTTGCATTTGTAGTTAATAAATATCATAGTGTTTCAACTACTTTATTGAATATACCAGCCTTGACTTTATTATTCAATGTATCATTTCTTTCTCTTCGTTTCCTATCATCTAAACATTTGCTACAAGTATTATTTTCCTTCTGACTTCAGGATTCCATTTCAGGTCGTTCTAGAATGAACTGTCTTTGCATTGCTCTGGCTTGGGTTTTTGCAATACCAGCCATCTTGAGGACAAGCTCTCGCTTATGAAAAATCCCAGCCCCTGACACACAGCCATGTTTTATGGCAACCAGCCCCCTAACATAGCTATATTTTGTGGTGCCCACCTCTGGCACAACCATATTTAGTGTCACCCATAATACTGTAGAAGGAATGGATGGCTGGTGGTGCTGATTTTCTCTCTTAGTTGACACGCAGGTGGTTAGGGTAGAAACTAATTGGCTATGGGAAAGATTCTGCATCCCTTAGTATTTTATACTAAACAATTTTATGACTAGTAGTAGCATGACATCATCTAAAGAACAAAAGGAGCAAATGGACTTCCCACACATTTCTGATGTGGGCATTAGAACATTATTCTCACTGTCTAGTAAAATTAAATAATATTGTTTAGCAACTTCATTATGGTGTTCATAGCCAAATAATATGAATATATATACCCACAAAGTATACAAATAAAAGTATTATTAGTATTATGTAGTTTATAATAGACTCAAATTGAAAATAATTCAGTTTTATATTATATAGTACCTGAAGATAATAGATTGTGTTTTAAAACTAAGATACATAATAATGTTTTCCTTCTATGAATTTTAAAAGCAGAAACACTGTTGGGGAAAATCAAGAAGGCAGTTCTTGATTTGGATGGTGATCAAAAACATGTGTATGAATAGGGATGTGCATATACATATAAAAAGTCATTATGTGGTATACTTACATCTGTATGTTTTCTTATATGAATTTGAAAATGCAAAATAAAGTTATGTCCAAGATGAACATAATGGTTCATTCTTATAATCTCAGCTATTTAGGAGGAAGAAGTAAGAATTTGAGAAATAGGAGGCAGAAGTAGACTAGTTGTAGGCCATTTAGATAAATGCATAAAACCCTATCCGATACACAAACTAAAACACGAGAGTCAGGGATATGACCCACGTGCTAGAGAACTTACTTAATAAATTCAAGACACTTGAACTCAAACCATAATGTCCCATCCAAACATGAAAAGTCCAGATGAAGCAAAACAGAAAAGTGACATTACGGTGCCACAGATCTCCTACTGAAGGTAAAAGTAGAATGAGGATTGGAACACTAATTTGCAGCTAATTTGGTGATTAGAGATAGTGGATGTGCAGTGGGTAGTAAAGTCTGGCATTGCTGTGGGGTCCACTTACCTCTGGTAAGCCTGTGCTGCTCAAGTTTTAGCATGCAACGTGTCTGGAAAGAGGTCTCATATTCTGCATTTTTTAAAGTTTCTCGGTAATTCCAGTGTTGCTTGTCCCCAGAAAGTTATCTGAGTAGCAGTGGGAAGAAAGTCTTGATCAATGTATAGTTATAAAATACCTTTCTGCTAGCAAGAGATTAGAAGAGAAGAAACATCTAGAAAACAAATGATGCTGAGAAACTGGCAGTAGGGGGAAGGTTAGCAGGATTGGGGAATGGGGAAGGAAAATAGAAACAGTTTTTAGATTCAGTAGTTGAAATTCTACCAAACTTTGGGAAATGATGAAAGAAAGCCATCAAGGACAGCTTACAGTTCCTGGCTTCACTGATCACATGGATAATATATTTGGTTTTAATTATTTCATCTAGTCCTTTTGATCAAAATGGAGCTTAGCAGGAATGGATGTCATAAGAAGCTATTTCTTCCCATTCGACGAACTGGCAGAGAGTGAAGCAAGGTGAAGGAACATGGAGGTGATTTAAGAATAGCTGTATGATATAGGAAAATAAAGGACTCAGGGTAATGAAAGTCAGCACTGTTACAGTAACAAATACACCCTGAAGTCTCAGTGCCTTTCAACAACAAAGGGCTGTAGTGCTGTTACCTGTCTCTGCTTGACTTTGCCCCACAGGTTCATGCCAAGAAGATTGCTAAGGGAACATGCAATAGATCTTCACTTCTCGGCTCAGATACACATATATCATGTCTGTCCCAGGGCCTTTGTGCGTGTGTGTGTGTGTGTGTGTGTGTGTGTGTGTGTGTGTGTGTGTGTGTGTGTGTGCCAGGACTGGGGCTTGAACTTAGAGTCTCACACTATCATTTGGACTTTTCACTACTACTTGAGCCATAGCTCTATGTCTAGTTTTGATAGTTCATAGGAGGAATGAGACTCATCGACTTTTTTGCCTTTGTTGACTTGGAATTGGGATCCTCAGAGCTTAGCCTCCTGAGTAGCTAGGATTACAGGTGTCATTCACCAGTGTCTGGAAGTCAGGAAAATTTTTTAAAGAGGCCTGGGGCCAAGGAGGTAGGAACATAATTGTTCCAGAGGAACCACTGAGGTTCACATGGTCACAGATAGGAAAATACAGCCTTCTGCAGGCAGTTAAACATAGTTAACCCATATAGCCCAGAAGTTATTTTAAAATTCTAAAACCTTCAGTTCATGTCTATGTCCAGAACATCATAAATTGATTACTAATTATAACAAAAAGAGTTTTTTTTTACACAAATCACTTGGCTATTTCCCATAAAATACTTGATATAAATGTGATTATTTGAAAAATTATATTATGACTTTCAACTTCACCTCAAATCTGTTCTGTATGATTTCTAAAGGTTTTGTTGTTTCAAACCAGGGGTAAAGCTGGGGTCACACTTATTACATGTCTTTTATTTTTCAATCACTGATTTTAACAGGACAAGAGAGTGAATCAACAAAGAATGAAGTGAAACTTGAGACTGAGTCCCAGAGCTCATCTATGGAAACAGAAGGTACTGAAATCAGCACATACTGCTCTCAGATAATACGATAGACCTAGCTGTGTGCCGTGGCTATGCTAGATAAAGTGTGTGCGTGTGTGTGAGTGGCATGCATGTTTGTTAGGGGAGGGTAGCTGAAGGGTAGTGGTACTTGGAGAGATGAAAAGGAGCTGCTACTCTCTGTGTTGTAGTCACTGTTTTCCCAATGATTCCACCTTACACTCCACCCTTGAGTATCCTTCTGCCTTGTTCTATTTAGAGATTGCCTCAAACCAGGAGGAGGCCATGACGGTGGAGCAACCAGAAGTGATCCCACTGACAGATGAAGAGGAAGAAAATGAAGATGGAACAGGTAGGACTGCTCTTAACCCAGTAGGAATGCAACAGTTCTTGAAATTCCTGCCTAGAACTCAAGTCCCATAATTATCCTCACTTAATCACAGCATACACAGGGGGAAAATGAACATGTCTTTAACTCTGAACCTGCTTTTAAAACTAGGGAAAAAAATCAAGGAGTAGCCAAAGATGGAATGAGTAACATTTTCTTTCCTTCCAGATACAGTGAAGCTGCGTTTGTAATTCATATACAGTCAATGTAAAATTTTTTGAATTATCATGTTGGGACCAAACTATAGTATTTAGACAGTCCATAAGAAATGAAAATTATACATTGGAGGGATGTAAGTTCTAGAATATCCAAAATAGCTTTAAACAAATAAATTAACCACTACGTATTGATTTCTTCTTGTATCCCTTTGTTTGGTATCGATTGAAGACTCAATTTGTGTGAAGTATGTGTAGAATATATGCCTCCCATCTTTGTCTGTTAATATTAGGATAGGATAATATTGAGTACTGTTAAAATATGTGACATCACAATGATTTCTGATGACATACAAGGAATGAACACTTGGTAAATATTAAAGTATCAGTTGGAATAAAGAGAAATTTTCAGTAAAGAAAAATTTTATGAAAATCTTTCTTACAATGTTATTATCCAAGAAATTGAGCATTTATTGAAGAACTTGAACAGTCCAATTTTCAAATATAAAAGAACCTCTTTAAAATGCTCATGAAATAGTTTGCTATATTATATCATAAATCTGATGGCTGTTCAATAAACAGTTATTTGCAGAACAGTTTCAGGGTGAGAACTTGTAGACCATGTTTATAGGACCTCGTTAACAATTTTGTTTCCAAATTGAAACACAGACATGATATTCATTGTAAAATCAGGTCAGTTGTGACTATAGCTTTTTAATTATGGATCCTTCTTGACAGGGACATTGACATTGGTTTATTGTTGGGCTAAGTTAGTGATTTTTATTTTTTTTTTAGTTTCCACTACATTTGTAGCTATTTCCATGCTTATGTTTCTACTAACTTTTTCCTCTATGCAAGTCCTAGTTCAGCCTCAGGAAACCATGTTCCTGGAAAGTCAAATTAATGTTATGTTTTGAGTATATTGTGTCTGGCAAAGACAGTAGAGAATTTTCAAATCCCAGCAAGAACTCCTATATACTTTTTTTTCTATTGCAGAAATTATTTGCTTTATATATTATACCTAAGGGGAAAAAATGAATGAAGTCATAAAAACAACTGGTAAAATTTCATTTTGTTTTATTTATTTATTTATTTATTCGTTTGAGTACTGGAGCTTGAACACAAGGCCTCTCACTCAGATTCTTAGCTCAAGGCTGGCACTCTACCATTTGAGTCACAGCTCCACATCTGAATTTCTGCTAGTTACCTGAAGATAAGAGTCTCATGGACTTTTCTTTCTGGGCTAGCTTTGAACTGTGATTCAGATCTCAGCTTCCTGAAATGGTTGGATGGCAGACCTAAGCCACCAGCAGCCAGCCATTTTCTTTTTAACTTGACTTAGAGAGGAAATGCTCTCACTTAGCACCTTCTAGCCTAGCATGGAAGCTCATACTAATTAGTGAAGAGTTAAACATGCATTACCCCTCTTTCTTTGCAAATATAGAAGGGCATGTGGGAAAAAGGAAAGGTCAGATTCTGATGCTTGCTTGTAGCAATTTTGAAGCTGTGTTCTTTACTTAAATCCAACTTTCCACTGCAAGAATGTACTATCAGTGGGCTTGAATTAGCCATGTTTTTCCTCCCTGTCTTTTATTAAAGAGCTTTACCTGGTTCTACCTTGAAGATTTCTAATTCTACCTTGAAGATTTCTGGTTGTCTAAACTTTTAAAAAATTCAAATGTATCCTATCTATTATCTTATTTTTTGGAGTAATAATTGAGAGCTATTCTGTTATATAAAAGCAAACTCCTTGCCTCATTCCATTTTATGTTGCTAATAATACCATAGTGTAGGTAAAATTGTATTTTTTTGCTATGAAAAAATAGAAGTTCATTTGAACTCCTGTGTGTGAAGGTATAAAGTTGAAGACATACACCTGTCAATGATCTTCAGTTGGGCAGGGACCCATGGTGGCACATGCATCACATGGAGCCAGGGAACTTGTATACCCACCCACCCATGCACCTGTGTTTGGTGTGATCTCTCTCTCCTTTTCCTTATAAAGCCACTGGGATTCAATCATAGAGACATGATGTCACCATCCTGATGACCTAATATCATCTTAATTACTTCTCAAAAACCCCACCTCTCAAACCATAATCAGACATAAATTTCCACCCATTTAATACGTAACATTGTTGATTAAATTTCAACATATGAGGATTTGGGGAACATTCCAATCATATCCAAAACTCAGCAGTAGCCAGTAAAAAGGAGATGAGGGCACATGGTATCCTCTGGTTTTTCTTCTCCAATAGTGACAGAGGGGCAGCCCTGGACAAAGGATTTGACTTACCTGATTCAGGCTTTTCACCTATAAGACAGTGATCACAATAGTAGTTGCCATACACTGTTGTGAAGTAACAAACAACCTCTGGCACATAGAAACTATCCTGTAAAGATTTAATCTTTATCATAATCTGCAATATTTGATAAATGGATGACAAAGCCAAGAGAATCTCTATTTGAGTTCTCTAAATCTATACATTGTCTTCTGTAATTATTTTTGGTCCCATAAAAATTGCACATTTTCTATATTATCCTTCTACAAATGGCCCTTAATATTTGACCGACAGAACTAATCTCATAGAAGCATTTCAAAATGGGTGTACACTGTATATTGTCACATATTTTATTCTAGAAAAATAGAACAATTTGGTGCGGGGGGGGGGGGGGATTGGGTGGGAGGGGGGAGGATGGGAAGGGGAAACAAAGGAGAAGGCTACAATGCTTGATAAGAAATGTACTCATTATCTTGCCCATGTAATTGTAAACCCTCTGTACAGTATTTTCACAATAAAAAAACAAATTAAAATAAATATAAAAAAGAAAAATAGAACAATTGAAAATGCATGAGGCATTTTATTTATAAACTCCTTTTTCTTTGTCAAGATCTCAACCTTCTGTTTGAGAAATAATAGTAAAATCAGAGTTTCTTTTTCTAAAAGAAGGATGCCATCAAGCTGTTGGCATAGACATAGAGGAAAAGTAGTAAATAAAATCAAAGTAATAGAATTTATTTGGCTTTTGTTTGATTCACACAGGTATTAAAGAGTCTTGTTTAAAAGCATTTGGAGACTATAGCTCCAGATTATGTATATTATGAAGTGTTTTCTTCATGGAAAAATATTATAAAGAATTATCTATAAATAATTGGGGCCTGGTGGCACACACTTGTAATCCAGTACACTAGAGCTAAGGCAAGAAGATTGTCATTTCCAGGCCAACCTAGGCTGCATGATGAGACTCTGTCTCCAAAACACAAGGGCTGGAGTCTATCTGGGCCCACTCCCGGTGACAAAGTACATTCCTTTCTCCTTTTCTATTTTTCCTTGTTTTGTCCTATTTTACTACATAAACCTGTGGTTTAAAAAATTTTATGTATTTATCTCACTTACAGAATATTTTCCTAGCGTGCACAAGGTCCTCAATTTAATCCTCAGCGTATCTTTAAACAAAGGTAGCAAGTGTTCTGTTACATTTCTAGAAATATTTTCTATAGCCCTAACATGATGCTAAAAATGGCAGAAAGTGGTCCCTTTAAAAAAAGAACTGCAGACCAAGAAAATTGCGAACCTTTTCTCTCATTTTTGCAGCATTTTATAAAATTAGAAAATGTAGATAATCTTCAGGACAGATCCTCCATGGCCCCCAGGTGTGTGAGCACAGATGTTGCAACATTTAGATTGGAAGTTAGCTGTACCCATATATGGATTTTGAAAAGGAGGAAAAATATTCAGCAGAAGTTCATGCTGATAAAATCACACAATAGCACAATGGACATGTCCCCGAGAGACCTAAAATACAAAAATTTCAACAGGCATAAAGCAAGGGCTCACATACGGCAGCTTTTCTCCCATAGCCACATTGCCTCTTCCTAAATGAGGCCAGTTTGGTGTTTTCCCAGCCAGATATGTAGCACATATGAAATCCAAAGGAATCACATCATGTATACGAATAATCAAATAGTAGAGAATTATAGGCATCTCTAAAAGGCATCTCCTGTTAGTATGAGATCTACATATAGTCAACATTTAAATGCTTCCTCTAAAATTTTTATTCCTAAGTGAATTTAGGAATATGTGCCATAAAATCACAACATGTATCATGAGTATATCACCAAACTCCTGTGCATATTTTATTAGTATATGTTATATTTTTTTCTTTAAGAATTGCACAGAATGAATATACTTGGCTCTGTATATTTGTTTATGTAATTAATAAGTACAATGTGGAACAGTGATATTTTTATCTGTTTCCTTAACATTGAAGGAAAATCTTAAGAGACTTAAAGTATGGTCTAAGATTCTCTGGAAAAAATATGAACATATGTATAACAGGTAAAATGTTAAGAGCAAGTCAGTGACAAGAAAAAAATAATTATGTCTTTGTCTCATGTTTTGACAATTAACCAGTATAACTATGAAACCAGAGATAGTCCTATCTCTTCTCCCTGGCAAGGGGATTACTTTACTTTGTAATAACTCCCTTTCTAAGAAAGTAATGAGGGACACAAACTCAATAATATAGTTATAAGGATCTCTAGTTTGGTAAACTTGCTTTACATGACCAATTCTGAAGTGCACACATTCTTAATGAAAGAATGACATGAGATCCAATGGTCACCAATGCATTGAAAACTAAAAGCTTAGGGTTTGTTTCAGGTTTATTACTTATTGTATGCTAAGGATAAAAATTCAGAAACTCTCTATACCAGGCAAAAAGGTAGAGTAGCCATTACTATATTAGTGTACCAATAATGGGCTAGATAATTGTTCCTAAAGCTGTTTTAAGGGAGCTGAACTTAGG